GCTTTGTTTACATTTCCCTGTTTTTCCTGGAAGTCTCCCTGGATGATTAGAGAACTGGTGGTGACATGTCATCACGGGTAACAAGGGAGAGAAATCTGATTATCAGAAAAGACAGAAGTGTTTAATAAATATTTCTGTTCTGTATTTGAGGGGAAAAAAGAGGAGATGTAGCCATATCACATGATAACACTTTTTCCATTCCACTCGTATCTCATAAGACTGCTAAACAACAGCAATTAAAATTAGATATTTTTAAATCCGCAGGCCCAGATAACTTACATCCAAGAATTTTAAAAGAGCTGGCTGAGGAGCTTGCAGGACTGTTAGTGTTGATTTTCAATAAGTTTTGGGGAAGTTCCAGAAGATGGGAAGAAAGCTTTAATGTTGTGCCAATTTTTTTAAAGGGTAAACGGGATGACCTGGATAATTATAGGCATATTAGCATGACATAGATCCTGGGCAAAATAATGAAGTCACTGAAATGGGACTCGATTAATAAAAAATTAAAGCAGGGTAATATAATTAATGCAAATATCTCCTTTGGAAGAGATTACAAGTTTGGTTGATAAAGGTAATAGTGTTGATCTCATATATGAGAATTCTGTAAGGCATTTGACTTGGTACCACAAAACAACTAAAAAGATATAAAATTAATATGAGACAAGGTGGGTGAGGTAATATCTCTTATTGGACCAACTTCAGTTGGTCTCACCAATAAAAGATATGATCTCACCCACCTTGTCTTTCTAATATCCTGGGACCAACATGACAACAACACAGCATGCATAAAATTAACATGGCACACTTTAAACAGGTTAAAAACTGGCTAACTGATAGGTCTCAAAATGTAACCCCAAACTGTGAATGATTGTTGAACAGATGTGTTTGTAGTGGGGCCCCGCAGGGATCAATTGTTTTCCCGATGCGATTTAACACTTCTTATGTTTTCTTCCAGGTCATCGATAAATCATCACTGATCGTGTTTGCAGATGACACAAAAATTGGGGGAGTGGTAAATAAGGAAGTGGAAAGGTCACTGATACAGAGAGACCTGGATCATTTGGTAAGCTGGGAACAAACAAGCAAACAATATGAGTTTTAATGTGGCTAATGTAATGTAAATGTATCCATCTAGGAACAAAGAATGTAGGCCATAGATATAGGATGTGGGGAGGGGGTCTACCCTGGGAAGCAGTGACTCTGAAAAAGATTTGGGGGTCATGGTGAACATGAGCGCCCAGTGTGATGCTGTGGCCAAAACGGTGAATGCCATCCTGGGATGCATAAAGAGGGGAATCTTGAGCAGGAGCAGAGAGGTGATTTTACTTCCGTATTTGGCACTGATGTGACCACTGCTGGAATCCTGTGTCCAGTTCTGGTGCCCACAATTCAAGAAGGATGTTGATAAATTGGAGATGGTTCAGAGAAGAGCCATGAGAATTATTAAAGGATTAGAAAACCTGCCTAATAGTGATAGACTCAAAGATCTCCATCTGTTTAGCTTAACGAAGAGAAGGTTAAGGGCTGACTTGATGACAGTTTATAAGCACCTACATGGAGGTGGGGGGAGGGGGCGGATATTTAATAATGGGCTCTTCAATCAAGCAGAGAAAGGTCTAACATGATCCAATGCCTGGAAGTTGAAGGTAGACAAATTCAGGCTGGAGATAAGGCATTCCTTTCTCTCAGTGTTAAAAATGTATCATTGGAATAACTTACCAAGGGTCATGGTGGATTCTTCATCAGACAATTTTTAAATAAAGACTGGATATTTTTCTAGAAGATCTGCTCTGGGCATTATTCTGAGGAAGTTCTCTAGCCCCTAGTTATATAGGAGGTCAGACTAGATTATCTGTCCTTGGAACCTATGAATTCTAAGTGAGCGAAGGAGTGATGAACGTTGTGTTTTTAGTGATACATGTTTACCCCAAACATCTAAGAAACAGTTGGGAGAAAACTCTTGTGAAAGATTCAGAATTAAGGGCTGAGAGAGCTTCCAGCCTAATCTCTGAGTATTCCAAGGAGACCCCCAGTAAAACTTGGCATTTCTGATACTTCTCATGTAAAGAATTGGGCTGGAAATGAATTTTTTCCCCATGAAAATTTTTGACTAAAACATTTGTTGTCACATATTTTTGGAATTTTTTTCAGTTTCAATAAAAAAGCCATTTTCCTGTGAAACAATTGTTGTAAACTATTTTTTTTTTTATGAGCTCTAGTAAACCAAAAAAAAGTAGAGACTGGGGGGGGGGTAATTTAAACCCCTCACAAAAAGCATAAAAGGCTGAAACTCATTTTGCCTTTTTGAAGGTTACCTTTAAGTGACTTACTCAAGATCACATAGTGAGTCACTGGCTGTGCCAGGAGTCGATGACTGCATTATTCAGGAGGTCAAACCAAATGATCTAGAATAGATAATGGACCCTTCTGGGCTTGTAATCTAGAACTAAACCTTGCCCTGTCCCCATCACTGTGCTAGAACCTCAAACCCAGTTCTTCTCTCTGTAAAGGAACCAGACTTTTGTGAACCTCTGGAGTTCGGGTCTGTGCTTTGACAGGCTGTCTCTGCAGTTGTTCCTCTGGGCCTGCTTCAAAGCTGTTGATTAGCTGGGGATGGTTTCTGGGAAGTCCCTTCTGAGGGTGGTGGCTGCAAACGGCTCCAGACATGAAAACGGCTCCTGCTCTGATAACACAGTGAAGTGTCCCCAGCGGGGTGAATCTTACTGGCGTTGCAGGAACCGCCTAGAAGGCACTTGCAGTAACCAATGCACCATGCTAGCATTTCCCCTCCCGGTGGGTTGTTTTAGGCCTTGGCTACACATAAAACTTAGGTCGACCTAGCTGCGTCTCTCAGGGTAGCGACACGGTTCATGCCCTGATGTCATGAAGTTCCCCTAAACCCCCAGTGTCGACACAGCTAGGTCGAGGGAAGGATTCTGCTGTCAACCTAGCTACTGCCTTGCAGGCCGGTAGATTGACTACATCAGCCGGATGGAGGAAGTGTCTACGTTCTGGTACTACCATAGCTCTGCCATCGGAGCGGCTGTGTAGCGTCGGCATTTTTATTATTGTTGCGTCGGTGGCAGCCTCCTCGAAGCCGAGGGGCGTGCAGCTACCTTTTGTTCAGACTAACAGAGGGAGCAATTAAATACCCTTTGTTTAGTGGGAGTTGAAGCAATAGAAGCCACTGCTTAAGGCACTGACCAGCATGGCGAGGCCTGAGCTAAGCCACACGGCAGAGGGGTGTTCCTGAAGCCTGGTTGCAAGCACGGGGGCTGGGACATTGATGTTGGTGACCGCTGTACGTGAGTGAAAGGAATGAGAAAGCAGGGAGCAGGTGAGCAGACCGCGAGAGGCGCCATAGGAGTGTGGCCCTGGGAGGAAGCCAAGAGAGAGGACAGCTTTTGGGCAGAGTGCTGGCTGGAGGGGCAGGTGTGGAAATTCTGAGCCAGGAACATTGCCTGCCCCTGCTGCTGTTTGTTCCTGCAGTGTTCAGGAGAAGAGGGCTCTGTGCATTCTTAGTAAACCACCAGGATTGCACCAAAGAATATACCTGGCTCGTAGCATCAATTTTTCCTCCTACTGGAAACGACCCTTACCCAGCAAGGCCTCAGGTGCTGGCTAATGGCTCAGACCAAAGGGAAACCATTCTACTAAGAAATCTCCATCTAAAGCAGCTGCAGTTTGGGAGCAAATCCCCCATCCAGCCCCTGCACACAGGACGAGGCTCGGCTCCCCTCCTCTCCTTCCTGGGCTGGATGTATTTTTGTGGGGGCTTTCGGTGAGGTTATACTTGGGACCCCCCCCTCCCCTCTCGCTAAGACCAGGGGCAGGTAGCAGAGCACAGCTCAGTAAATGTGAATAGCAGCAGACTCCAGCGTTCCATGGTAAATGGGGGATCATCACCACCCCCTCCCCATCAGCTCTTGCCTCTTTCCTTCCCCACCCTGTCCCTGCCCATGGAAGCGCTTGCCGGAGGGGAGTCAGGGCTTTGAAGAAGCGTCTTGGTGCAGTGGATTATGGGAGGAGAATCTCCGGTGGCTTCTCCCACTCAGGAGAAGGGGACATTGGGTTGGGTGGGAACTAAGGGGACAGCTGACTGTGCCATTCCTGGTCCCTTTTCCCTGCAGATGCGCGTGTGGGTCTGCACTGGATGTTTCCACCCCCTACAATGTCTCAGCCCCACCAGTGATGGCCACAGTGCAGGCAGGGCTCTCCGGCCTACGGGCGTTTTACCCTAACAGAGACCGTCTACACAACACGGTGATAAGGTCTTGTCTACACTAGGGTTCCTGCAGTTGCTACCACTGCTTTTGGCTCCCCCTGGAGGCAGCCTGAGTGGGAAGCGTGGGGCAAAAAGGTCCCATTGCAGAGCAAGCCTGAGGGATTCTGGAAGGAGGGAATCAGAGTTGGAATAAGAGCTTTCCAGCCTCTGTAGAAATCTCCTGGGGGCTGACTCCAACACCTCAACGCCAAGACAAGGAGAAAGATGGCCGCTGCGCTCCTCAGTTCGCATTAGCCCTGGGATCCTGTCTGAGGTGCCAGCTGCTTGGCCTGGAGTGCAGGGAGGCGGAAGGGAAGGGAAGAGCACAGACTGGGAGCTCTCTCTACCCCGTGTGGAAAGTTGGCTTCAAAGAGCTGCCTACCACCTGCTGGGTGGGTTGTGTCCTCAGCCGAGCTCCTTCCAGGGTGATCACGTGGTCCAGTTAAGCAGGCTGGCGGGCTCTTTGGATTTCACTCTCAGCGTGACCAGGCCCGGGGACTTGTAGTCGTTGTCCGGCGGGGGCTCAAAGCCGTGGCTGCCGAGGGAAGGGGGGAAGCCGTGGATGGAGTACAGGTTGTTGATCCCGGGGTGTTGGTTGGGAGAACCAGGGATGCCCATGAATCCGGCAATGTTCCCATGGGCATGCGGGTATGGAGACACGCAGGGGGAAGGGATGCTCTCGGGGGGCATGAGGCAGGGTCCTGCAGGACTCCCCGATCCGGCGCTCGGCCACAGGTTATTCTGCAGCTGAAACAAGGGAAAACAGACAGACAAGGCTGGGTTAGCTGCTGACTGGTCTGGAGGGCGTGCTGTCCCTCCTGCATGCCTGCTGCGGGGGATGGAGTGCAGCTGAGTGCAAGTCAGAATTTCCATCCCAGGGGGAATTCCACTGGTTCAACATCCCAGTTTAATCTTGAACTGACCCCAAACGAAATGTTCTGTTTCCGTTTTCCTCACGACCATCGAAATTTCGAGTCACAAGTGTTAAAATGAGTCCATTCAACATTAAACTGTATTCCCATGTGGGGCACGCTGCCTCTTGGGCGTTGCCGTTTGGGTCTGAGAAGGACCTCGGTCTCTCCTGGACGCCTTGGATGGACTACATTTCACATGATACCCCTCCACCAGTGGGGAGATAGTGTGGTATCATGGGAGATTGTGCAGGGGTGTGTACCCCCTCAGAGGCCAATTAACCCATCTGGCTGCACCTGCAGGGTGGGCCAGGCCTTATTTAAGATGAAGCCCAGCTGGGGATGGAGCTAAGTGGTAACTAAAGAGAGGAAGCCCAGATCAGAAGAGGCTGCATTGTGAGAGGGAAGAACTGTGCAGTCACTCCCTGGGATTCGAGCATGGAGAGACTGGAGAGTCAAGAAGGAAGCCCAGAGCGGAAGAGTTGGCCCTGGGATCCCCTCCTGAGTAGAGAAGTCTACTAGGAGGCCGAGAGATATACGGAGCAGGCACAGGGGTGAAACAGGCTCTGGTGATGAGCCCTGATAAAGGGGCAGAAAATCTGGACTTCCAGGGGTCGAGCCCAGGGAGGCGTTCCTCTGAGGAACTGAGCAAGGGAAACTTAGGAGGGATGAAAGGTCAAGCCCGAGAAGTTGGTTTAAGTTTGGGATTTGTTGGGGGATTCCCGAGGAGAATCCTGCCCTGAACGAAGGGTGAATTTAGAGAGGCTGTGGGAGAGGCTACAGTAGGATGAAAGTCCAGGAGACAGCAGTCTGAAGGAGCAGACCTTGGCTGCTGGGATAGGGTCCCTGGACTGGAACCCAGCATAGAAAGTGGGTCTGGGCTTCCCCCACCAGTCACTGGGGAAGGTGGGGAAGCCCCTGAGAAGGGGATATAGACTGCTGGAAGCCCTGAGAAAAGGGTGTATACACCATGTCACCCAGAGCTGGGGGCCAAAGGCCTTTTGTAATGACACTGGACTGTTCTGTGTTGAACTTTCTGTTCCCCTGGAAAGGGTGGAATTAAAACGTGACCTGGCTGAAGGGCAGCGTCGCGAGAAGACAGACCCTGCAGGACCAAAGTGAATGTCGGCAGCGGTGCTAGAGGGAAAAGCATTACTACACCATGCCCAGCCACGAGGGGGCGCTCCAGCAGTGAGTTGACCCTTCTACAAAGATGTCATCTGGCCAGGAAAACTGGCCCATAGGAGAGCATGGGGGCATCAGGCCTTCTACCTACAACTCCCGTGAGGCAATGCCCCACAATAGGGAAATGCTGTTTCAAGTTGAATTGACCCCAAATAGTTTGTTTCAGTTTTGCTTAACCAAAAATCAGAAAATTTCAGCAAAAAACAAAATTTCCCCGTCAAAAATGTCAAATGTTGTGGAAACGGTATTCTCCATCGATAAATTGTTGGGAGGGAAAAGGGGCTGTCCGTAAATTACATCGCACAGTAAGGAGTGGCTGGGTCCTTAACTCTGCTTGTTTGTTTCAGTTTTGCAAAATGTTTACAAGGGCTGGGCAGGTCTCGAAAATCAGCAAAAAAGGGTGTTACGTAATTTAAGGACGCAATTTAGGTCTGGTGTTCCCAGGGCATAGGAGAGCCCCGGGGATAACACTGCGAGGAGCGGTGGGTTCCTTGCTACATAACTCCCAATGCCGGAGCTGCACGTTCTTCTGCCCTGGAACATTTGACCCGAACCTGTGAGTGCCCTTAAATCCCACCAACTTTGTGTGATCGGGCACCTAATGAGAGGGCAGAGAGCAGAAATCTTAGAGGGGTCCACTAATTACTGGGTGACATTCAATGGTAGAAATGGTCTTAAGTACTCAGTCAACACCGTCTTTCCAGTGCCCCAGAGTTCTGGTGTGTTTGGATACACGCATTTGGCACTCGAAAACTAGGGGGTCACTCATGAAATTGATCATGCCCACGCTGTATGGGGCTCCAGAGAGAAATGATCACGCTCCCAAAGTCCTATTCCAGCATGTGCAGGGGGTGGTGTAAAATCTGGGATGGAGTTTCTGAGAGGGTCCAGGCTTGTCTTTAGTTGACTCTGGCCAGGAGCACTGGGGGACAAGAGAAGTGTCTCCAGGGCATTAGAAAATAGAGCTTAGCCAGTAACTATGATTTTTTTTTGTTTGTTCCTGGTGATTTGGCTGAACTGAAGAACAAAAATAAAATAATGTTTTGGGGTCAAATGAACCAGTTTGTTTCATTTTGAAGGTGTGTGTGTGTGTGGGGGGGGGGGGTGTTGGTTTTTTACCTGTTAAAATAATTCATAAAAGTAAAATTGGAAACAAAAAGTCATTTTGCATCAAAATGTTTCATTTCAAAAATGTTGAAATGAAACGTTTTGACTTTTTCTGAAGGGTTTGTTTGTTTCTGACTGAAACAATTTGGTGAATTCGATGCGAAATGTTTTGGTCGACCCAAATCTGCATTTTTCAGGGGGAAAAAAATGTTTAATCTGGAAAAATTTCTCCCAGCTGTCTTAGAAATATGAAGGGTGAATGCGAAGGCAGCACCAGTCGGGCTATTCTCCTGTGTTTATCCCTGGTCTGCGGGGCCAAGGGCTTAGGGGGATACTGGGGAAGTGTGAGATTCCCCAGTGAAGCAATTCAAAAGGCTTGGAAATGGGGCGTAATATGGTGTCACTCTGATCTGCTGCATTATTCTCCCTTTATGAGGGAGATTAGGGCCCCCTTGTCTTCTCATTTACATGGTGTCAATCTGAAGTAACTGCATTGATTTGAGTGGAGCTAATCTAGATTTACGCTCATGGACGTGAAATCCTAATTTGGCGCAGCACGTTCTGATGAGGGTGAGGTCTGGCCACTGTTCCTGATTCTGTCTCAGTACCTGAGGGTAGTTTTCAGCCCTGGGCAGGGCAGAGATGTCGTAGGTGGCCGCGAAGGGATTTCTCGCCTCCTGGATTTTCCCATAACGTTCTCGTTTCCGCCACTTTGCTCTCCGGTTCTGGAACCAAACCTGGGGGAACAGTGCAAATCCCAGGTGAGCTGAGACTGTCAATCAACACAGAGACACTGAAACAGCCAAGGGTCAGACCCAGCAGGGACCCAACTGAAAGTGATCAACTTTAGACCTATCATGACCTTACGGGGGGCAGGAGACTGGAGACACCCAAGGAATACAGGGTTTATGTTGGTATCTGTCTGGGCCTTAGGGGGCAGTGCAGTGTCCGGGGCTCCACTGGCATATGGGGTATGGTGTAGCGGACTCTGCCACTTTATTAGCACAAAACTTATTTTGTCTGTAAGTGGGTTTAGGGGACCCTGCAGTGGAATGTGGGGTACTTGCATGCATTGGTTCCTATCTGAGCTATAAATGGGTCCATATGGTGCATGTGATTTTGGCGAGGGGATGGAGGCACTGGCAGGGTGAGCACTGGGCAAGCTTCCATCTTCCAGTGCACCTCGGTCCTCACCTGGCACCGCGACTGCACCATCCCTATTGCTCTCATTTATGGAGACCATTCGGAGCGCTAGATTCCATGGTGGTCTCCTGGGTTCATTTCTGGTCCCATTCGGGGTTGGTACAAGACCACCAAACACATTTCCACCCATGGCCTGACAAAAGGATTGAGCCCAAGTCTTACCTTAGCCCAGATGAAACCAGCTAGCCCCAGAAAGTTACCTTCCATTGTGATGTTGGTGATGGGCTGTACAAGCCCCACACCAGGCAAGAAGGGGTTGAAGGAACAGCTTTGGGGTCAGGCATGCCAACCATGGAGGAGAGGAGCCTTAAAAGGGAAAAGCCCAGTTGAAGAGGGCCAAGCCTAGGGAGGTGGACAGATCTCTCCCAACTAGCTCCCACCAAGAAGCACCACGTAGCCAAAGCTGGCAGAGGGTTATTGCAAATGCTACCCGGAGGATGCTGAGCAGGGCCATGGCTTATCCAGTGTCCCCCCAGAGGAGGGAGACCAGGGATGTGTCTGGGCTATTTTTGCATTGTGTCTGTCTTATGTTACCATTCCCCGAGGGCTGGGGGAAAAGGCCTAGAGGCGGGCCACAGTAGGAAGAAGACTGGGGAAGAAGGAAGAGGTCAGAAGAAGCAGATCTTAGAAGCAGATCTGCTCCAGGGTCCTGGGCTGGAACCCAGGCTAGAGGTAGGGAATCCAGTCTCTATAGGCCACCATGGAAAGGCCTGGTGAAGGTCCTGGGCAAGAGCCATAGTTGGCCTAGAGTCGGGCTGGAGCCCTGGCAGAAGGCTGCTGGACTGTTATTGGACTCGTCTCCCCCTTAACTCAGAAGGGGTGAGATTAGAAATTGACCTGGCTGGAGGGCTGAGTCACGGGACCAAGGGCCACCGGCAGACCTGAGGGCTGGTCAGTGCGGCAATGGAGAGGGAAAAACCAACAGCATCATACCCAGCCACAAGGCAACGCACTGGCTGGTGAGTCACTTCGTCAAACTGATCCTTTAAGAGCATGGGCTGTGAGCGGTGGGTTGATACCGAGGCATGGAGCCCTTCGTCTTGTGGCCAGCAGATCTGATGCTGTGCAGATCGGCAGCGTCTGAAAGCCTTTGCCACGATGTGTCTGGTGGCTGTCGGTCCGGTTCCTAGCTGACAGGCATCTACAGCACACAAGGAGCCCTAGTGATACCATCACTATCTCGCCCCCTTGTTGGCAGTCTCAGAGGTGCCAAGGGTTGAATGGACCATGGAGAGACGACAGCAGTAGGGCTGGTCCCTCCAGTTCATGGCTGAGGCTCATCTGTCAGATGGAGTTTGGAGCAAGCTTATGCTGCTTTCCCTTGCTGTACCTGCTCTCTCTGGATAACAAAAGGACTTCAGTCTCCAGGGCTGTCTGCCTTTTAACTGACACTGAATTCAACAGCAGAAAGGGGGAAGACGTCCTTTCTCTCCCATAACATACAGAGCACAGGTTCCTGGGGTGACTACTTATTTTTATATCCTCGTTATGGCCTTGTCTACGCCTACAAATTAAGTTGGCCTAGCTCCATTGCTCAGGGCTGTGAAAAAATTCGCCCCGGTACGACATAGTTAGCTTGATCTTACCCTCACTGTAGGCGCAACGAGGTTGATGGAAGAAGTCTTCCGTCCACCTAGCTACTGCCTTGCAGAGAGGTGAATTAATTACAGTGATGGGGAAACTCTTCCGTTGATGTAGGAAGCACCCACAACGCTGTAGCTGTTCTACTGTAAAATGGACCCACCCTCTGGAAGTAGTCAGATGCTTCCTATGAATAGCTGCAGCCTACAGGCGGTTACCACACACACAACCTCTATTCATGCGTTCCTGGGTCTCAGATTTCCCCAAGCTGCTTCTATTCTGATGTACTCCAGGCCATTAACAGTGAGTATATTCACAGGGGTCTAGCCTCGGCCTGGAGGAACTAGCTGCGGGTTCTCCGTCTGATGGTACAGGCATCACTGTCCTGGGATGCAGTGATGGTGCAAGCCTCGGACGATGACGGCAGTTTGGTGCTATCTAGCAAGATGCTGGTAACGGTGTCTCTGGCAGGCGCTAGAGATGCTGAGGTTTCAGTGGGGCTGTCTCAGGAAGTGCCAGTCTGAGGTTGCTAGCACTTCAGTTACCACCTCAAATAACTGCATTCAGGGGAATTTCCCAAGATAGCATTGCGGGTATCTTCCTATGGGCTTGATGCAGGGAATCACTGGGGGAGGGTCTCTGCCTTTTGCTGTGCAGAAGGTCAGACTAGATGGGCACCTTCTGGGCTTAAAATCTGAGTCTATATCTAGGAGGGCCTCTCCTTGGCTGACCTCTTTCTGACTCTTCGCTTATTCCACTAGCTGCAGCACTGACTGTTAGAGATGAACCCAAGCCTCAGTCTGAGATCCAGGTGTCCCTGAACCATTCAGATCCAGATTAGAACTTTCTGACCGGCCCCTAACTGTGTAACAGGCCAAACCAAAACCCTGGGACCAAACTCTGGGCCCTTTCAGATCTGGCCCTCCACACCCATCTCACAACGTCCCGTTCCTTTAAACTCTACATCCATTTCTGCCCTGAGCTGGTAAGTCACTTCACCTCCCTGTGCCTCAGTTTACCCACCTGTAAAATGGGAAGAATGCTACTGACCTCCTCTGTAAAGTGCTTTGAAGTCTCTAAATGAAAAGTGCTGTATAAAAACTAGGAATTATTATTATTCTGTCCCCAAACCAAACAACCGCAGCCTCCTTTCCATCACACTTGCTTCAACTCTCCTTAGTCTCCTACGACGGCTGCCACCAGGGGACACCACTAGCTTCTCCCCAGAACCCATCCTGCCTCAGAATGTGCTTCCCAGCTAACTGTGTAGCTGTGGCAGGCTGGGTGACAAAGCATATCCTGGTGGAGTCCCCGCATATGAGCGCGGGCTCAGACACACTGGCCTGTTACATCTCCCTCTCTGCATCTCTCCGCTGACGGGACATTCTCCCTCATCCAGCATTACATTTGCAGACTGGCTCGTCCTCTACAGTGATATTTAATAACCAGAGTGGCGAGGCTGCGCGGATTCCTGTCCAGATGTGTGTTTGTAGCTCTGAGCGCCAGTTTCTCCTGTTGCTTTCGATCATCACTCGCACTCACTTCATTTTGCACATTCCTACAGGCATTCCTGCAAGCCAACTTTTCTGGCTTTCCAGTGTGAGACTGAAACCACATGCCAATGCCTGTGGGGAGAGTTAACCCTGCTGATGTGAAGGGGGTGCCAGAGGAAAAGCTGGGCTGCTCCAAGCTGTATGCCCAGGTCTCCTTGGCGTGGCCTCTCCATTCAGCGAAGGGATAAGTTATCCACTCCAGTCCAGTCCCCCTATGCATGTCCTGGGGATGCCAGTGGTAGAAACCCTTTAGCTGGGTTGAAAGGTGCTGTATAAATGCAAGATGGTGCTGTTATTAAAAGAAAGACATTGAACAAGAGTTTAAACTTTGTTTGCATAGTTGTTGTAGCCATGTTGGTCCCAGGATATGAGAGACACAAGGTGGGTGAGGTGTAGTATCCTTTATTGGACAAACTGTTGCTGTTGAAAGAGACAAACTTTGGAGCTACACAGAGCTCCTCTTCAGGTCTGGGAAATTTAAGTATCACAGCTAAATACAAGATGGAACAGCTTGGTAAGCATAAGAATTTAACACATGTTGCAAGAGACCATTCAAGATGAAGAGGGCAATTAACACCTCTACAGTCACAGAACAAAGGAGGGTTAGTGAGTTACAGATTTTTGTTATGAGACGTAAATCCAGTGTCCATGGCTTTTAGCATCTTGCAAAGTTCTGAATTTAAGCTCCCAGGCCTGTCTTTAGAAGGTATTGTGCAGGTGTCCTTTGAGGACTAGGACTGAGAGGTCACCTATAGAGTGGTCGTTTTGTGAAAAGTTTTCACCCGCAGGTGACAGGGAGTGTTTCTTTTATGATTTTTCTATGTGAGTTCATTTGAGAGCATAGTGATTGTCTGGTTTCAAGTTGTTGAGGCATTTGATGCAATGTATGAGGTATGCCCCATGTTGTGATAGGCATATGTAGGACCCAGGGACCTTGAAAAGTGTGGTGTGTGTGTGTGGGGGGGGGATTTATCATTGTAGCAGTAGAGATATGTCTGCAGGTTTTGCATCTGTTGTTATGACAGGGTCTAGTGCTGCTTTGACTTGGTGTGTCTTGGTCTGTGAGAAGCTTGCTTCGGATAGTGAGCTTGGTGAGTCTGGGGGGTTGTTTGAAGCCAGAGGAGCGGTTTTAGAGAAGGTTCATGGGTTCAGAGCGGGTTCAGGATGTGGTCCCTGTCGATTATGGGCTTGAAGTTGTTTGACGATACCCTGTGTGGGTTCCAGAAATTGGTCCAATAAAAGATATTACGGAGGGTGGAATGTGGCAGAAGTTTAACAGCAGACCCTACAGAAATGCTTCTTGGCCTTTTAGGAAAAGAGGTAAAGATGGCTTTCATAGCCATCTGAGAATACAGGCGGACTTCAGGGAGACAGGCTTGTGCCTAGGTCCAGTACAATGCCGAGCACTTTAGAACATGAGATGATTGCTAGAGAAAGATCGGTTACAATGTAATTATTCCGACTGGAATTTGCCCTGGATGCTGGGATTAACCAGCCTTCTCTAGGCCAAAATACCACAATGGGATATTTAATGGGCCCAAATGGCTGTGGCTCCCTCCATTTTACAAAGCTGGTACTCCAGCAGACAGCGCCCTATAGCACCAGGCTGGGTTCGTTACGGAGACAGAAGAAGGAACACCGACACTATGTAAGCATCTCTTGGCAATCTTCCAATCCAAGTACCAACCTGGCCTGCCCCTGCTTGGCTTGTACAATCCCAGGTGAAGTGATTAGTAGGGTGGCAAAGGCCACTTTACTTTGTGGAAAGGAGCAGGGAGCCTTGCAGAAATCATAGAAGATCAGGGTTGGAAGGGACCTCAGGAGGTCATCTCGTTCAACCCCCTGCTCAAAGCAGGACCAATCCCCTTCCTGCCCCTCGTTCTCTTACCTGGACCCTGGCTTCTGTTAGGTCTGTCCTCAGTGCCAGCTGCTCCCTGGCATACACATCGGGGTAATGGGTTTTCTGGAAGACCTTCTCCAGCTCTTCCAGTTGGAAGGTGCTGAAGGTCGTCCTGTTCCTCCTCTTCTTGTTCTTGTTCTTGGTTAGCTCCATGGCGTCAGTGAGCTCGGGGGAGATGTGCTCCCTCAAGCTGCCCAGAGAAGCAGACGGGGAGCAGCTGAGATCAGGGGCTTCTTCCAGCTGGGCTCTGCAGTCTGTGGGCACGGGGTGGTACCCCTGCCCTTTGGCGCTTTTCGTTCCAGCTGCAGTGGGAACACACAGAGCAGTGGGTTAAGGAATCACAGAGCCATGATGTTGCCTGCTTCCCCTACCCCTCAAACGTTGCTCTCTGTGGATGTTCTAAACTATTCCGGACCCAGGAGCTTGGCTGCTGGCTCTGAATAAATTCATGGAGCACACATTCCAAGTTCCCCCTTAAACACTGAAACAGCACCACGGGTCTGGGGTGGGTGCAGAGAGATTAGGGCCTGTATTTCTGGGGGGAAATCTCCTCCGTGCCCCATCAGGCAAGAATTAAGGACTCCTGCAACTGAATGGCTCAGCCTTGGGGTGGGGGAAGGCAGGGCTGGTGGGACTTGTGGATGAAATCATTAAAAGGGGGAAGACACACCAGGACAGATAGTGGGTCCAAATCCATCTTGCCGACGACTGCAATATACCCAGAGGGGAAAGACTACTCCTCTGTTGGGGAATAGGTGAAAGCTCAGAGCCAGCGAGTGAGGCCCAGGTTTTCTCCTGGGGGAAGCCAATGAAGGGCTAGGGTTACCACACCTTTTTGGGTAGTAGACAGCGACTCAAGAGACCAGAGTTCAGTTCTCTGCTCTGCCACTGAGCTCTGTGTGACCTTGGGCAAGTCAAGCAACCCTGTGTCTCAGTTCCCCTTCTGTCAAATAGAGGTAATAGCCCTTCCTAGCTCCTTCCTTAAAGAGTGAGAGTCACTTGGGTACTAATGTGATGGAGGCCACATAGGAATTCCGTCATGATTTCAACAATTTCCATCCCATGGTCAACCTCAGCCTGGACAAGTCCACACAAGAGATCCACTTCCTAGACACTACGGTGCTAATAAGCGACTGTCACATAAACACCACCCTATACTGGAAACCTACTGACCGCTATACTTACGTACATGCCTCCAGCTTCCATCCAGGACAAACCACATGATCCATTGTCTATAGCCAAGCTCTACGATACAATCGCATTTGCTCCAACCCCTCAGACAGAGACAAACACTTACAAGATCTCTATCAAGCGTTCTTACAACTACAATACCCACTGGCTGAAGTGAAAAAACAGATTGACAGAGCCAGAAGAGTACCCAGAAGTCACCTACTGCAGGACAGGCCCAACAAAGAAAACAACAGAACGCCACTAGCCATCACCTTCAGCCCCCAACTAAAACCTCTCCAATGCATCATCACAGATTTAGAACCTATCCTGAAAAATGATCCCTCACTCTCACAGATCTTGGAAGACAGACCAGTCCTCACTTACAGACAGCCCCCCAACCTGAAGCAAATACTCTCCAGCAACCACACACCACACAACAAAAACACTAACCCAGGAACCTATCCTTGCAACAAAGCCCTATGCCAACTCTGTCCACATATTTATTCAAGTGACACCATCATAGGACCTAATCACATTAGCCACACCAGCAGGGGCTCGTTCACCTGCACATCTACCAATGTGATATATGCCATCATGTGCCAGCAATGCCCCTCTGCCATGTACATTGGCCAAACTGGACAGTCTCTATGCAAAAGAATCAATGGACACAAATCTGAGATCAGGAATCATAACATTCAAAAACCTGTAGGAGAACACTTCAACCTCTCTGGCCACTCAGTAAAAGACTTAAGGGTGGCAATTTTGCAACAGAAAAGCTTCAAAAACAGACTCCACGGAGAAACTGCTGAGCTTGAATTAATATGCAAACTAGATACCATTAACTTGGGTTTGAATAGAGACTGGGAGTGGCTGGCTCTTTACACATATTCAATCTATTTCCCCATGTTAAGTATCCTCACATCTTCTTGTCAACTGTCTAAATGGGCCACTTGATTATCACTATGAAAGTTTTTTTCTCCTGCTGATAATAGCTCATCTTAACTAATTAGCCTCTCACAGTTTGTATGGCAACTTCCAACTTATCTGTATGTATATATATCTTCTTACTCTATGTTCCATTCTATGCATCCGATGAAGTGGGCTGTAGCCCGTGAAAGCTTTTGCTCTAATAAATTTATTAGTCTCTAAGGTGTCACAAGTGCTCCTTTTCTTTTATTAAAACAGAGAGAGATTCTGTTATCTGCATTGGCCTAGAGCATGGTACATGTGTGTCTCCTGTCAATTTAACAGATGGGATTAGAATTGGAAAGAGTACAGAGAGAGGCAACAGAAATTATTAGGGGAAGGAAAAAGCTTCCACATGAGGAGAGATTAAAAGGAGTGGCACTGTTCAGCTTAGAAAAGGAACGACTCGGGAGGATATGAGAGAGGTCTATAAAATCAGAAATGGTGTGAAGAGAGTGAATGGGGAAGTGTTATTTACCCCATCACATAACACATGAACCAGGGGTCACCCAATGAAATTAATAGGCAGCAGGTTTAAAAGAAAGTGTACTTCTTCACGCAACACACAGCCAGTCTGTGAAAGTTGTTGCCAGGGGACGTTGTAAAGGCCAAAAGTATAACTGGTTTTAAAAAAGAATTAGATCAGTTCATGAAGGATAGGTCCATCAATGGCTATTAGCCAGGATGGGCAGGGATGCAACTCTATGCTCTGAATGGCCCTAGCTTCTTTTTTGCCAGAAGCTGGGAGTGGAGCACAGGGGATGGATCACTATAATTGCCCTGTTCTGTTCGTTTGGGGAGGGATAGCTCAGTGGTTGGAGCACTGGCCTGCTTAAACCCAGGGTTGTGCGTTCAATCCTTGAGGGGGCCTTTTAGGATCTGGGGGGAAAATTGGGGATTGGTCCTGTTTGAGCAGGGGGGTTGGACTAGATGACCTCCTGAGGTCCCTTCCAACCCTGATATTCTATGATTCCCTCTGAAGCACCTCGTTGGAAGACAGGATACTGGGCTAGATGGACCATTGGTCTGACCCAGTGCGGCCATTCTTATGATTATAGGACAATTATTGACGATGTTTTGATCCCCTTGCCTCCAACTGGAATTGAGGGCACGCAGAACCATTCATTCTAGGGCTTGCCCAGCTGCCTGCTGCTTCAGGGATCTCTGAGTCTTTAGCAATGGGATGGGTGAGGGATAATGAAGCAGGAGGCCAGGGGTGTGAAATGAAGAGTAAGGAGGGGAGCAGCTGAGCAGTGGAGGTTGGTGAGATGAATGGAGGCTAGTGAGCGGGATGAGTTAGGCAGAGTGCCCTTGCAGGGGCAGAGCCTCGGCTGGTGTAAATCAGCAACGGCTTCAATGGCGTTGCACTTATTTACACCCATTGAGGATCTGTCCCGAAGCACAGCCAAGATGAGATTGTCCCAGCCTGCCTAATGTGCTTCCCCCCACTCTTTCTTCATCTCCAGCCGAGATGGACACAATATCTGTCTCGCCACCGACGGAGCAACATCTTGCCTGGTGTGGCAGCAAACAGACGCACTGCACAACCCTGACGCGTGGAGACGACTCCCTTCTTGCACGCCCTGGGTTTGCAGCCACTCAGCTACCGCCTTTGCAAATGTGCAGGAGGCCAGGGGCTCCCCAAAGATCTCAGTCTTTCTCCAGAAACTATTTGGAAAGAACTCCCCCATGCAAGCGATCCCAGCGCCTTTGAACGGCACTGCCCAGGGAATCTATTTCCCAGCCCGCATCAATTGTTTGAGGAATTGCTTTATACAAAACAGCCCGTTGGGGTCTGTGGCAATATATTTATGTTGCATTTTTCTCCCCCCGCCCCGTGTCTGGAATTTGTACTGAAATGTGTTGGAGGGAATAAATCAGAGCCACATACTGAAAGAGGAACTCAGGCTGTCTTTTCCAGCCGCAAGCCAGGAGCATTCTCTTTAACACACGCTTGGCTGCGATGGTGACAAGCAGAACACAAGAGGGAACTGCACCAGTGGGGAAGGTCTTCTGGGGCCAGCCCCTTGGCTGGTGGAAATTGGCATCGTTGTCACCAGTGGAATGTTGTTGATTTTTGCCAGCCAAGGACCTGGCTCTTGGTCAGAAGCCAAAGTCTAAAATACCAGCGTGAGGAGGCTGCAAAGGGGGCAGCAACCCGGCCTGCCCGTTCCAGGGAACGGCTGGTGTGTTGACGGGTCAGGCCTGGAATGTTCTGGGCCCTGAATCTCAATGACTGTTCCCTGCACTCTTACCAACGTGGGCAGGCAAAACTTTCCCAGGTTATCCGGGGCTCTCGGTGGGGCCCACCCTGAAGCTGCAGTGCCAGCCCCTTTAACCTGCTCGGTGCCCTGTTTCTGCATTGCCTGGGACATTTTACCCCCTCAGTCCCTCAGGGGAAAGGGGTTGCTAGGCAACTGCTTTCCTCACACCTGGTTCAACTCACCTGCAGGCTATTACTCTCAGCAGGTGCAAATGGGGCAAAGGGGCCCAGGGGAGGAAGAGGACTTGGTCTCAGCAGATGTGGACACCATGGAAGTTGGGGTTGGGGATGCCCAGAGGAAGCCCTGGGGCTGAAGTTCCGGTCCTGGTTTCAGTCTAGGGAATGCTTTCTTTCCGAACGGCATCCAGCCTTCTGGGGTTTCCTCTCCCCAGCACGGTCTCTTTCTCCAGCAGAAAGGGCCCCAGGGCACAGAGCTTTAACTTGCTTTCTTGATATTGGGCCTGATCCTGCATGACTGGGGGCAAATGGGGATTTTGGTCGTGGGCTTCAGTGAGGGCAGGATCGGGCCCAATATTCTTTGCTTATCAGGGTCTCGTATAGGTTGAATGGGATGGACCCTGGCTCCTGTATAGACTGGATCCAGTCTGGATTGAATGGGAGGGGCCCTGGATCCTGTATAGACTGTATGGGGTGACCTGCCAGTCTGTGTAGACTGTGTGGGATGGATCCAGTATGGATTAAATGGGACAGGCCCTGGATCCTGTATAGACTGTATGGGATGGATCCAGTGCGGATTGCATGGGAGGGGCCCTGGATCCTGTATAGACTGTGTGGGATGGATCCAGTGCGGATTGCATGGGACAGGCCCTGGATCCTGTATAGACTGTGTGGGATGGATCCAGTGTGGATTGCATGGGAGGGGCCCTGGATCCTGTATAGACT